TACGGGTATAAGTAGAGTCGCGTCCCCAGAAGCGACTCACACGTTCCTTCTCGTTAGTTTTAGAGAGACGCATTAATTAGGCGTCGTTCAAGGTTTAAAGTTTGTAAGAATCGATGGATAAACGGAAAGTTGAAGCCGTTTGCGTTGTCGTTTGCGTTTTCTTCATTCTGGCTATAATTATGATCCGATCTGATTCAGATTCGGCATTCTGGTAGATATGGTCATTCTCTATGATACTTTGTTTTTAGTTTTATCGTATCTTTAAAATTGAAGTCAGCGAAATCAATATCAATTGCGATCGATAGTGGGAGTTCGGAAGAGCTGACTATGCGAAGACGCATTGTCAGCATTGCGCGGTCACTGCGTCAAAGACAGGATGGGGCGATGATGGTGTTGATTGAAGTGGATCAAGCGGTTCCTGAGAATTACAACTCTAGGCGCATGTTTTGGGCAGGAAATGGAATTTACTTTGTGAGTACTTTGTAATGGAAATCTTGCGCAACATTATTGCAAGTGGGCAATAAACTAGGGCAATAAATTATTGTGTAAGATTTGGTTTGGTTTATGGTTTTATATTTTGTTGAACTCTTCTGGAGTTAACACTTCCCCTCTTATTTAATTTGTCCTCAAATGAATATTAAGAGGATGGTATGTTATTGATTTCATAGTTTTGTTTAGAGTTTACTGCTCTGGTGTCAGTGTCAATCTTAATATCTGGTGTTTCTGGAGGAATGTTAAGCATAACATTTTGCGGTTTTGGACAGATTTTTGATATTATGATCAGCACTATTGCGATCGTAAACAGCGTTATGATGGTCATAGTAATTATTGAGGAATGAGTTTTCAGGAAGTTGAGATGTTTTTATACCCGTACTCAAAAAAGAGTTAAGGGGTATATTGTATTTGTGGTAAAAGTGAAGGAAACGTTTCCGACCCCATAAAGTATATATATTCTTGATCAGCATCAATAGCCGAGTCGATATAGCCATGTCCGTCTGTCCGTCCGTCCGTCCGTCCGTTCGTCTGTCCGTCTTGATGAGCGCTTAGGTCTCGGAGGCTATAAGAGCTAGGGCAACCAAATTTGGTTTCCAGACTCATGTGATAACACACTGCTACAAGTGTATTTCAAAATTAAGCCCCGCCCTCTTTCGCCACCACAAAGAACGAAAATCTGTGGCAGGCACATTTTTAAAGATACAAGAAAAAGGAGTACGCAGTATCGTAGAGAATGACCATAGCTACCAGATTGCAGAATCTGAATCAGATCGGATCATAATTATAGCCAGAATAAAGAAATTAATTTTCAGTTGCTTCCCCCGCCTCTATCAGCCAGAGACCCGCTACTCATACTCTTTCTCGCTCGCACACTGTGCCGCGTTCAGTGCGCGAACAACCCCTAGCGGAGGAGATGTAGAATATGAATGGTACATCTATTTTCTACATGTTAGATGTTAAATATACATTGTAGATGTAGATAGCAGATGTAGCAAAAAAATGTAATATGTACATTTTTTTTGTAATTCTAAAATTCTAAAAAATCATAAGCTCAAAAATGTATATTCTGACTAAGTACGGGTATAAGTAGAGTCGCGTCTCCAGAAGCGACTCGCACGTTCCTTCTCGTTTTGTTTGTTCTTGTGTTAGCTTCCCAATACCCGTGTGAATTGTTAAAATATGGCTATTATTGTAATTTGTTAATTTTGTTGCTACAACTACTAATTGTAGGAAGAATGGTGATGGGATGAATCTGGAACAAAATGAATAATGAGAAAAAAATATAAAAAGTGTTTTTCGGGTATTTTCCGATTCGTGGTGATATAATCAGATGGAATCCCGCATTCGGAAAACTTTGTTGGGGGGAGATATATATTTATTTTATTTAATCGGAATTAATTTAATTATATAATATCGGAATATTAGCAATTTTTTATATTGCTTTTGGTTACAATTTTTCCTAAAATTTACTATTTCTTTTTTGAATCTTGGAGACAACTTAGAGCCTAGCCTTGTGTTTATTTTTACCCAAATTTCCTGACCTGGTGAATTTATTTTTATTGATTTTTTGTTTTTATTGTGGTTCTTTAAATCTAAGATTTGCTTTGTCTTAAGTTTATCAATATTACTTTGTCTGCTTATATCGTATTTTTCAGGGTTGGTTGTTACGTTTCTGCCAAAGAATACCTCCAATGGTCTTTTATTGGTTACTGAGTGTATAGAAAAGTTATATTCGTAAATAGCTCAATCTAATATGTTATATATTAGCAACATAAGCATCATATTGCATCAGCCATTTCAAATGTACCACACACACTAACACTATCACACCCGAATATATGTATGCGTAAAGAACGCTTGAGAGAGTAATAAAATTCAGTTCTATTCGAGTTCTCACCAAGAACACTATGTTTTCTTCATACCGAAACATAACATTTTGGCGACGAGGAAAAACAAATTGCCGCAAAATTATCAATTTGTGTATTTCGAGCGGTAGTCTAACCAACTAGAGATCGAACGAAAAATAAACAACAATGGAAAGAAATTCCACAGACATTAATGCATTGTTGGCTCAACAGCAACAATTTACAGAAAAGCTAATTCAACAACAACAACAATGGATGGAGGCCATTCTTGCACAAAACAGTGGTGTTAAAAGACCATCAGAATCAACAGCTTGTCCGCCGTTCCCAAGTTTTAATAAGGATCAACAAAATTGGGAGACGTATTTGCGACAAATTGCGCAGCATTTCGCCGCGTATTCCGTTATCTCCGTCGAGAAACAAAAAGCATATTTTCTTTCGTGGGTAGGCACGAATGTTTTTGAATTTGTAAAAAATCTGTTCGGTAGCGAAAATTTGGACCAGCTGTCATACGTACAAATCACAGAAAAATTATCGGAGCACTTTAAACAAAAGCGTCACGTTGTTGCTGCTCGATATGAATTTTTTAAACGTCAGATGCGGGACTTACAATCTCATAAGGAATGGGTAGCCGATCTACGTGGTATAGCTCGCGAGTGTCAGTTTGTTTGCAGTTCCAATGGGTGTACAAACAATTATGTTGACGAAATTATACGTGATCAAATAATCGTACACACGCCATTCGAAGCCATACGCACAGCCACTTTGCAAAAGCTTCAGACGTCTCTCGCAGACGTACTCTCAATTGCCGAATCTTATGAGGCAACAACAAAAACAGACGCAGTCATAAAGGAGAGAGAGAACAGAGCACTGGACATGAACGCTGTACACACACATAAACAAAAATCAACAGAAACGCAGTGGTATGGAATCAAAGGGAGGCAAGAGCACTCTCAAATCTTGCTCCAGTTGTGGAAATACACACATTCGTGAAAATTTTAAATTTCGCGATGGTACTTGCCATAAATGTGGTCGAAAGGGACCTGTCGTTTGCATGTCAAAGCAGTGCAAATATATGAGAGAGAGCGATCATCACAAATACCAAAACAAGGAAAAACACGCAAACAATTCACATCGTCTCAAGCCTAGTGAAGTTGGATGGAAATAAAAATGTAATCGACCTGGAAATTTTCAACGAAATTATTTCTTACCATATGGATTCTGGCGCAACTGTATCAGTTATGAATTTCAAAACATTCAAACAACTCAAAAGTCCAAAGCTGCAGAAGTATGACCGCATTTTGCATGCGTTTGGCCAACAACAAATTCCCGTGCTGGGGGAGTTGCACACGGAAGCCAAATGTGGCGATAAATTAGCAAATGTTGTCATAATCGTAACAAAAGTAGAAAACTCAAACAATCTGTTCGGAATGGATTTGTTCAATACATTCAATTTCAAAATTTAACAAGTTTCAAATGTGAATGTAGCGCAGGGTTCTCAAATGACTGATCTTTGTGACAAGTACAAAGAAGTATTTGAACCGGCTATCGGTACAATAAACAACTTTAAGGCAAGCATTTACTTAAAGCAAAATTTCGTGCCGAAATTCTACAAAAGCAGACAAATTCCATTTGCTCAAATGGAAAAGTTCAAGGAGGAAGTTAAGCGTCTCACAGATGCCGGAATTTGGAAAGCAGTCAAATTCCGCAACTGGTCATCACCAATAGTACTAGCCGGGTGGAGCACGCCACCATCTGTGGCGACTTCAAACAAGGTGTCAATTCCCAATTGAACATCGAGCATTATCCACTGCCAACACGTGAGTCTCTATTTCATATTATCCGTCACGGCGCCCATTTCTCCAAAATCGACTTGAAAGACGCATATCTACAAATGGAGTTAGATGATGCGGCAAAAGAAATTATGTTCGTGTTATGGGTCTCTTCCAGTACCAACTTTTACCCTATGGAATAGCGAGCGCTCCAGCTATATTCCAGCTTCATCTTGAACAACTTCTGAGTGGCATAGAAGGTTGTGGCAATTATCTAGACGACATAATTATCTCAGCTCCAACAGTTGAGTAGCACCTTGCTCGCCTCGAACAAGTCCGATGCATTCTACGAGAGAATGGCATTAAATGTAAGAGGGAGAAGTTTTTCTTCTTGAAAGATGAAATCGAATATCTCGGGAGAAGAATAAGCATCAAGGGCATCCTTCCGGATACCTCGGGACTAGAAGCTGTCAAGCAATTGAGGCCCCCCATCTATCTACAGCAGCTGGATGCTTTCATGGGAAAAATAAACTACTACTGCAATTTCATCCCGAACTTTTCTCAGCTAGCGTCTCCGCTCAATCAGCTTCGGAGGAAGAACGTAGTCTTCAAATTCGGTCCAGATCAGCAGCAGGCTTTCACAGCTTTAAAAACGCACATTGGATAAAACATTGGATGTCCACCAAGTTCGTTACAGCCAAATAGAAAAAGAAGCACTTTCGATTATATTTGGGGTAAAGAAATTTCAGCAGTACCTTTACGGCAGAAAGTTCATACTCATTACTGATCATAAGCCATTGGTCACCATATTCAATCCAAGCAAGCATCTGCCAACGATGACTTCGAACTTCAACGTTGGGCTATAATCTTGATGGCCTACAACTTTGAAATAAGATATCACAGCACCACAGCTCATGGAAATGCAGACGCACTCTCACGTCTTCCTATCAGCTCAGATGAAAAGTTTGACACAGAAGAGGCATGCTACAATGTCGTCGAGATGCCATGTCCAGTAAATGCCGACATTATCAGGAACAATATTAAAAGCGACCGTAAACAAGATCTTTCACTTCGTATCAACTGGTTGGCCAGAAAAACAGCAGGAATTGAAATACTGCCATATTTTAATCGTAGATTCGCCTTGACGATTAACAATAACCTACTATGTCTCCATTCTGATATAAATAGAATCATTATTCCTCAAGCTCTACGGAATAATATTGTCAACGTCCTCCACGAGGGTCATGAAACAACTGGCACGACAACATGTGTGGTGGCCAGGTATCGACGATGATATCGCAACAATTGCAAAGAATTGTAGCGTTTGCAAGATAGCAAATCCAGGCCCTGTAGAGGAATTCCAGAGCTGGCCAAAATCGACATCCGCCTGGGAAAGGATACACATAGATTTTGCCGGTCCTATATTTGACTCCATGTGGTTAATTGGCGTCGATGCACATTATCAGTTCCCGTTTGTAGTACAAATGACATCGACAACAACTGAAAACACTATAGCTGCACTTACAGCCATTTTCGCTATTGAGGGTTATCCTAAAACCTTAGTAAGCGATAATGGACCTCAACTTACATCAGACTCGTTCAACATGGTTCTGTCAGCAACATGGAATAAACCACATCACAACCGCCCCATTTCATCCAACATCAAACGGACTTGCTGAGCGTTCAAAACGTCCGTCAGCAAAAATATAAAGGATGGGTATCGAGTCAATACAGCCGTAACAAAGTACCTCAGCTCGTATCGTTTCACACCTAACTCGGCAGGTAAAACACCTGCAGAACTTCTCCATGGTCGTCCGGTTCGTACGATTTTAAGTCAACTCTTCGAGAAGCGAACTGAAAGCAAGCAGAGGCAGCCAACAAAGTATTCTCCGAACCAGAAAGTTTTTGCCAAAAACTATGCAAGGGGAGAAAAGTGGATAGCAGCTATCATAGGTAGCATAGCATAGGTAGTATGCTATTTATCCTTCCAACATCCACAGGTTTCATCAAGCGCCACATAAACTAGATAAAGCCAAGATCTGAGCCTGATGACTGCAGTTCCAGCCCCAACAATGACAACAATCAGATTTGGTGGGCACCTGAAGACTTAAGTCCGCCTGCATCTCCAACAGCACAAAGTCAAGAAGAAGAACCGTCATCCGATCCAGTACAGAATGCTCAACTCATTCCTGTCTTCAACGAAGTGCCTGCAGCATCTGAGCAAGACGTTCTACAACCACCAGCACTCGCGAACTAGCCGCTACACACCTCAGGATTACAGAAACCGTTAAAACAACTAACAAATCATAATTTAAGAGGGGAGATGTGTTATATATTAGCAACATATGCATCATATTGCATCAGCAATTTCAAATGTAGCACACACATGCGTAAAGAACGCTTGAGAGAGTAATAAAATTCAGTTCTATTCGAGTTCTCACCAAGAACACTACGTTTTCTTCATACCGAAAATAACATAATAGTTCTCGGAATGTGTTATATATTCCTTTGTTTTTCAAACAACGCATTTTTTCTGAGAGCGTTGAATGTAATCTTTCTACTTGTCCATTTAGTGAACTTTTGTAAGGGGGTGCTGTGAAAATCTGAATTCCTAACTGGTCTTTCATCATAAACGTTATGGAAGCTGAGTTCAATGATTTTTCATTATCAATGACAACACTCTTTGACACACCAAAGTAAAACAAAATATCGTGTAAAATGGGTTTTATATCATTAACGGATTTGGATTTGATAATTCTTCCCTGTGCTAATTTGGAAAATTTGTCTATTGCTGTCAAAACTAAGTTTTTCTCTGTTGAATAAATATCAATGTGTAGAGTATAAATATTCAGGTATTGGTGTTTCTATGATTTTTGGATTGGTAGGATGTCTATCGTATTTCACTTCTTTACAAATTTGACATAGTTTCACTATACTGATGATTTTCTGTTTAATTTTTGGAAAACAAAATTTGTCCAGTAGTTGCTATTGGTTCTTTAATGCATTTCTAAGGGCTCTAATGTAAAAATTTAATATTTCTTCTTCTTGTTGATATTCGTTGCTCAGATCTTCTACCTTTCTCTGTGTAAATCTAACTTTGTACTGAGAGAAATTTGATGGGTATATTCTTTGAATTTGTTCCATAATGGGTTCTGTTGTTTGAATTCCATTAATAACGGACGAGTTAAGATGTTTTCTCAGTTTTGTGGAATTTCGTGTCGATGAAATGCTGGAAATGGTTGGCTAAATTTATAATTACTATTATTTCCTGGAAAGATAAAAATTTGGTTTTTAAAAGCATTTATTGGGATTTAAGTACTGGGCAGAACTCTCACTAATATGTTGTGTAGTGACGGAATTTATTTCTTTAATTCTAGATAGGAAATCGGCAACAAGGTTGGCTTTTCCAGGTTTATAAATTAACTGATAATCATATTTTTCCAAGAATTTCTTCCATCGTTTTATTCTTGCATTACCGTTCCAGTCGCTCATAGAATGAATTAAAGGTCGATGATCAGTATAAATTGTCACTTTCGCTCCTCCATAGAGATAATTCATTAGGGAATTTTAATGCCCATATTATTGCATTTCTTTTTCGTTTGCTGCATAATTTTCTTCGGCTTTAGAAAGTGTTCGGGAAATTAATGATATTGGTTTATCATTCTGAGCAAGGAATGCTCCTAAGGAGAAGTTTGAGGTATCTGTCGTAAGTTGAAATTCTTTATTGAAATCGGGTTATTGTAGGATGGCTCGGTTGAAATTAATGTATTTTTAAGTTTTTGGAATGACGCCAGTGCTTTTTCGTTTAGGTGAATGATCTTTCTGCTTGAATTGATTTTTTTTATACCCGTACTCAAAAAAGAGTTAATGGGTGTATATTAGATTTGTGGTAAAAGTGGATGTGTGTAACGCAGAGAAGGAAACGTTTCCGACCCCATAAAGTATATATATTCTTGATCAGCATCAATAGCCGAGTCGATATAGCCATGTCTGTCTGCCTGTCCGTCCGTCCGTCCGTCTTGTTGAGCGCCTGGATCTGATCTCAGAGACTATAAGAGCTAGGGCAACCAAATTTGGTTTCCAGACTCATGTGATATCACACTGCTACAAGTGTATTTCAAAATTTCGCCCCGCCCCCTCAAAGGACGAAAATCTTTGGCAGGCACAATTTTAAAACTAAAAACTCAGTATCGTAGGGAATTCCCATATCTACCAGATTGCTAAATCTGAATCAGATCGGATCATAATTATAGCCAGAATGAAGAAATTAATTTTCAGTTGCTTCCCCTGCCCCCTCCTGACCACGACCAAGCAACTCATTCTCTTTCTCGCTCGCACACTCTGCCGCGTTCAGTGCGCGAACAACCCCTAGCGGAGGAGATGCAGAATATGAATGATGTAAAATATACATTGTAGATTTAGATGTAGATAACAGATGTAGCAAAAAAATGTAATATGTAAATTTTTTTTTTTAATTTTAAAATTCTAAAAAATCATAAGCTCAAAAATTTATATACTGACCGAGTACGGGTGTAAGTAGAGTCGCGTCCCCAGAAGCGACTCACACGTTCCTTCTCGTTTATTCTTAAAAAACTCGCATTTATCGAGTTGGCAGTATATAAAGTATATATATTCTTGATCAGCATCAATAGCCGAGTCTATATAGCCATGTCCGTCTGTCCGTCCGTCTGTCCGTCCGTCCGTCTTGATGAGCGCCTGGATCTCAGAGACTATAAGAGCTAGAGAAACCAAATTTTGTTTCCAGACTCATGTGATATCACACTGTTACAAGTGTATTTCAGAATTTCGCCCCGCCCCCTTCTTCCCCCACAAAGGACGAAAATCTGTGTCAGGCACATTTTTAAAGATACGATTAAACTAAAAACAAAGTATCGTAGAGAATGACCATATCTATCAGATTCCCGAATCTGAATCAGATCGGATTATAATTATAGCCAGAATGAAGAAATTAATTTTAAGTTGTTTCCCCCCGCCCCCTCCGGCAATGGACAACCTAACTCATTTTCCTTCTCGCTCGCACACTCTGCCGCGTGCGCGAGCAACCCCTAGCCGAGGAGATGTAGAATCTCAATGGTACATGTAGAATCTACATGTTAGATGTTGAATATACATTGTAGATGTAGATAACAGATGTAGCAAAAAAATGTAAAATGTAAAATTTTTTTCTGTGAATATGATATACAGTGTCGGTCCAGAGAGAAAATCTTTGCATCGTACTGCGAAACTTCTTTGCTGTAGGTATGACTCCAAACGCGGTCGAAAGCCTGGGCGACATCCAGAAAAACAGCGGAGCAATACTTTCAAATGCATTTCGTATCTCAGAGGTTATACGGCTTACTTGTTCAATGGTTCCGTGTTTTTCGCGAAATCCAAATTGGTGAGTCGGGATGGCACCGTTGATGTGTAGGTGTTGTTTGATACGATTCAGGAGCAGCTTCTCAAATATCTTTGATAGGCAAGGCAGTAGGCTGATAGGTCTATATGATGATGGCTTGGACTTGTCTATTCCGGCTTTATGGATCATTGTTATGACTGGTTTCCTCCATTCTTGAGAATAATAGCCCCATTTCATCATGCTGTTGAATATCACAGTAAGGAAATATACTGCACAGCTCGTCAATTCTATAATCATTCTAGGGGAGATGAAATCGTGGCCCGGAGCTTTCTTTTGCTTTGAGATTTGGTCTTTAATGACCCTTGTGACTTCTCCTGATTGGAATATGATAGGCGGAGTAGCGTCGGGATTATTGGTTGGTGGGAGCACAAGGCTTTTTGTTGCTGGGTGTGGTTTGAAGACGTTTTCTAGATGGACGGCAAATGTATTTGCCTTCTCTTTGTTGCTGCGAGCCCACTCTCCTGTTTGTGTACGCAAAGGTGATTCACTCTCGATTGGTGGCCATTCGCCTGATTTGCCTTTCACAGTGGGAATCGTTTGCTAGTTGGGGAGAGTTGCTTCATATAGGATATTTGAGCTCAGTTTTGTTATCTTCTAGGGCTCTGCGTAGTAGGTGGTTGGCTATTTTTAGCCGCTCTTTCGAGGCAGGTGATCTGTGTGCTTGCCACTCTCGGCGAAGCCTTCTTTTATCGCGTAGCAGCACTTCAATGTGCCTAGAAATACGACTGCTGTTGGAAAGTTTATTAGATGCTAATATTGGTGTTGAGTGTTTTGCCGCCAGTGACATTGAGGATACCAATGCTTCGACTGACCTATCAATGTCATCTTTACAATTAATGTTTGGGCAGTTATCAATATGAGAGCTTATGTACTTCCTGTATTTGAGCCAATCTGTTTTGCTAGAAGTTAGAAAGTGTGGGCGTTCCGAAAGCTGTGGATGGTTGTAAAGGTGAAGTAGAATGGGCGAGTGATTCGATGATAGATCTGTTAAGTGATCTACATTAATCTCAGCTTGTAGCACCCTTCGTGTAACTGCAAAATCAATCAAGTCGGGTTGCTCGTTTGGATCTGTGGGCCAATATGTGGACTTGCCCGGAGAGATAAAGTCTAGCTTGTGTCGTGGGGTTATTATAGCGTTATATAGTTGTCTTCCTTTCGGGTTGGTAAGTCTAGATCCCCAATGGGTGTGCTTGGCATTGTAGTCATCAGCTGCTATAAATCGGTCACCTAGTAGGTCGAAGAATGTTAAAAATTCTGTTTCGGAAATGCATAAGCAGTATACTGCGGCTAGGTTTAGGTAGCCGCACTGAATTTCAATATGAATTGCTGTTGCCTGTAGATAAGGTGTAGCAAATGAAGGCAATGGATAATGCCTAATGCGATTCTTGATCAGAACGCCAGTACCTCCATGTGCCTTACCATCGGGATGATTTGTCGCATAGAATTATAGCCATCGAGGTGAAAATAGTTTTTATTTGTTAGGTGAGTCTCTGATATGAGCATGGCGTCAATGTCGTGTTGAGCGAGGAACTGTAAGAGCTCGCATTTGTGCTGCGAAATGCCATTTGCATTCCAGAAACATATATTTAGACAGGACATTTAAACACATTTCTGTTTGATTAGGAGCTCCAGGAGGAGATTTTGGTTGCGCATAAGCTCCTGCATCGTTTGTTGTATTGCTACCATTGTGTTAGTTATAGTTACCAGCATTGACTCAATTCCACTAGGCAACTGGGATGGATTAGCAGGGGTATGTTGGGCAGAGATTTCTGGGATCTGATTTGATGCCTGATGCTGCATTGTTCCAGCTGTGGTTGGTTGAAGTGTCGGCTAGAGACTGAGGCGTACGACCCTTTGTTGTAACTTAACGCCTGA